TATATATACATACATACTACCATTCAACCAGACAAAATACTATCAAAAACAGTAACAATGTAAATTATGATTACAGTTTAACCCTCATGTTGTGTTCCTGTCGTTTTGACCAACAGAGATTTCCTTTTTCCTGAAAATGCTAGTTATTGTTATCACATTGGACTAAACTTACTGACTCTGAGGTGAAAAAGCTTAGATCAATGAGCCCTACAACCAATCCTAATTGAAAGAAAACAAATTGACAAAGATTGAGTCCAAGATTTGGTGATAATTTATCATAATGAGAGATTTACAAGCAATTTTTAAAAGACCGGTCATTTTTGTACCAGTAACACTAAATAAGGTAAAGGATTTTCAGCACAAAGGTTAAAATAGCTGTTTTCTGTTTTTAGACATTTTAAAATGATGATTTAAAATGTGAAATTTTAGCTTTGATTGTAGACTGGAGTGCTGAATAGAGCTTTGATAAAAAAAATTGTTGTATAATCTATAAAAAAAAATCTTCCTAATGTGCTAATTTTGTAATTGAGGAAATTATTATTACATTTCTTATTAAATATGAGAAATTTTTCTGGGTAGAAAATGGTGCTCCATGAAGTGTGAAATAGCTACAGTGCATTGATTACACTTGTATTTCTTGTAATTTATTTAAAAAAGAAATAGTTACAGTAGTTTTTAACAAATGTCTTTACAGTAGTTCTTGATCAATTTGATGAGTTCTAGGATAATTGTCACCTAGCAGAATCTGAAATAACTAATCTTTTAAACACTTCTTTCTTTAATGGTGAAAAGGCACTCTATTTCATGTTGTGCTTAAAACCCTTTAACAGTAATAAAATCACTTTAATGCACGCCTCATGTGGTTTAGTGCTTCATCAAGATGCTCTAGAGAGAGTTTAATTGAAATCTGAAGGAGGATTGTGTGAGTGTTAAATGGGCCTTTTCAGACCTCTTGCAGAGTTCAGACAGACTCATAGAGTTGTGATGGAACAGGGAGACATGTTAGGTCACTGCATCTGACCTCTCTGCCCTGTGGCCTTGCAGGTGGAAGCTGCAGCTGGCTGAGTTGAGTAAGCTGCCTGCCTTCATGCGGGTGGTGTCTGCAGGGAATCTGCTCAGTCATGTGGGCCACACCATTCTCGGCATGAACACAGTCCAGCTCTATATGAAGGTCCCAGGCAGCAGGACACCAGGTGAGCTCATTGGCATGCCAGCACATACACATCTCGCCGTGCTTTACAGAGGCAGCGCTCAAATACAGACGTTACGGAGTTGAATGTAGGGATGTTAATAAAAATACTAAACTATTTCTTTTTTCCATTCAGGTCATCAAGAAAATAACAACTTCTGCTCTGTGAACATTAACATCGGCCCTGGAGATTGTGAATGGTTTGCCGTTCCTGAGCCGTACTGGGGTGTCATGAATGACTTCTGTGAAAAGTAAGCACAATCAAAAATGCCTTAATTCTACTAAAACACCATACTTTGGGTTTAATGTAAAATATGAATTTTAGCATGTTTGTATGGCTTGCATATGTACTGACTGACATATTCTTTATGCAGGAATAATATAAATTACCTAATGGGCTCATGGTGGCCAAATCTAGAGGATTTGTTTGAGGCCAATGTTCCAGTGTATCGTTTTATCCAGCGACCAGGTGATCTGGTCTGGCTTAATACAGGCTCTGTGCATTGGGTTCAGGCTATCGGCTGGTGCAACAACATTGCCTGGAATGTAGGACCACTCACTGGTAAATAGTTGCTTATCACTGCTGTTAGACCACTGGATCTGTTCTAAAACCTTGTGAGCTGCTGAAAACCAACTGCCTACATATGCAGCTGTTTTCTGAGGGAGCGACTGAATCATTGTTGAATGTCTAAAGTGACTGTTTAGAGCACTCTACATTGGCAACTTGTTAAAATGCTTTTAAATCTTTTTTTAATGTTCTAAATTAAAAAAGATAGTTTCAGCTGTTTAAAAGTCACATTCAATCTTAAAGCTTTTATCAAAGATACATTTTGAAAATCTTATATAGGTTTTAATTTTTTATTTTTTTAGATATTATATATTTTTTATTGTATATGTATAATCAAATCTATTAACAATCTAATTCTCTTGGTTTTGTGTGGTAATTAACTTTTTTCTTAATTATTTTGTATTTTGAGATCACTTTATGAATTAATGAAGGATACATAATTTCATTTACAAAGTCCATAAAAAAAGGCTGTCTTGGTAGGCAGCTCACTTGGTTTTAAATGTTACAATTTTGAAGAAAGCGAGGTTTTACAGCCTTGTAAAGTGAAATATAATATCAGTATTGCTTGTATTCAGGTGCTTTACTCTAAACCTTAAGTTAAAATGTAGTTCATCTATTTGTTAATTGATCAAAGTGTCTAATTCTTATCTGTTCTTCGTCAGTGCATCAGTACAAGTCAGCTGTGGAACGCTATGAGTGGAACAAACTCCAGAATGTTAAATCCATTGTTCCCATGATTCACCTCTCTTGGAACATGGCCAGGAACATCAAAGTGTCAGACCACAAACTCTTTGAGATGATCAAGTGAGTCTACTCCAGCACATTTGCGATTGTGGTTCTTTGAGAAGTCACAATGACAAAGTTTCTCTTGACTGAAATCTCAAGCAGATTAACGGAATTATTAAATAAGGTTTGTTCCTCCTCCTCAGGTACTGTTTGTTGAGGACACTAAAGCAGTGTCAGACTTTGAGGGAGGCGCTTATAGCTGCTGGAAAAGAGCTAGTTTGGCATGGAAGGACCAAGGACGAACCTGCTCACTACTGTAGCATCTGTGAGGTGTGTATTCTTCACCAAAGTTTTTTAGATTTGAATTGTATGCAAGTTTTAAATAATAGAAAATAGTTTTACACTCGAAGTAAATGGTTGCTTTGGCACATTTGTTTAAAATTGGACATTGTCAGCCCTGAAAAAAGTATTAAAAATAATTAAATTCTAAAAATGCATGGAAATGTCATGAAAATGTCAAGTATATAAGTATATTATTTAAAGTATTTCTAGTTATGCTCAGCTAGTTATTTGTTGGCTTAACATTTCACTTTGCAAATGTGATCTCTATTTAAATTGATTTTTGAAAATTCTTATCCTTTAATCACAAACAATTGGAAGCGTCATTAAAAATTAAGTGGTTCTAAAATACCTCTGTGTTTATTCTGCATCTTACTTATCATGGCAATCATGTTGAGATCACATTGATCATGGATGAAAAACATGCCTGTGATGTTGAAATATATTCATTTTTAGATTCAAGAATTTTTTTTTTTTTTTCAAGAAATTTCATACAAGGCTTTGTAAAGTTAACATTCAAAGTTTGTCTGGACACTTTGCTTACCATTAGGTAATTAATATTATAGAAAATACATATTTTTACATTTTTACCTGTTTCTTTAGCCATAAAACCTGGTTTTGCCAGAAACATAAAAACTACAGTTAAGGGTTTTTATTTATTTATATTTCAGTTTGTTTTAATTATATCTTCCCATTTTCCATTTTTATTTGATTGGATCTTTTCTGTTCATGCATATGTTTTAATATATATATATATATATATATTTATCCCAGGTGGAGGTTTGATCTGCTGTTTGTCACCAGTGAGAGCGCAACTCACGTAAGACATACGTGGTGCACTGCCAGGGCTGTGAATTTCATACAAGGCTTTGTAAAGTTAACATTCAAAGTTTGTCTGGACACTTTGCTTACCATTAGGTAATTAATATTATAGAAAATACATATTTTTACATTTTTACCTGTTTCTTTAGCCATAAAACCTGGTTTTGCCAGAAACATAAAAACTACAGTTAAGGGTTTTTATTTATTTATATTTCAGTTTGTTTTAATTATATCTTCCCATTTTCCATTTTTATTTGATTGGATCTTTTCTGTTCATGCATATGTTTTAATATATATATATATATATATTTATCCCAGGTGGAGGTCTTTGATCTGCTGTTTGTCACCAGTGAGAGCAACTCACGTAAGACATACGTGGTGCACTGCCAGGGCTGTGCTCGGAGATGCAGCCCTAACCTTGAGAACTTTGTGGTTTTAGAGCAGTACAGAATAGAGGACCTCATGCAAGTGTATGACCAATTCACATTAGTAAGTCTCAAAGCCCTTATCTTGAGAAGCCCTTGCCTTCTATAGATCTCTGCATAAACCTTTTCTATCACCTTTTTTATATTTGTATGATTAATAGTCTCAGATAGCAAGAAAAGAGCGTGCTTAATGTCCTCTGGCTCTTTCCACAGGCCCCACCCCTGCCCTCCTCCTCAACTTGACGTTAACATTAACGGTTCCTCGGATAACACCCTGGAACGCAACACATTTCTTTCTGATATTCAGGAGACCTGACCCAGTTCCACACCACTGGTTTCTGTAGCAAACCCCACAAGGCTGCTGGTTCTAAGCTGTTTGTCTATGCAACCTTGCCAAGCATGGAGTTTCGGCCCACTGGAGTGAAGTGGGATCGTCTCCATCTTCAGGACTGTTTCAGCTTGTTCAGCACCACTTCTCTTTGAAACACAAACTACAAATAGACTAATTGCTGAGGAAAAATGGTTTTGTGTATATACCACAAAAGGCAAAATCACTCAAAACTACTGACTCTTCCTTTTTCTTTTACTGTTGCTTTAAACCTCTTTTTTTTGTTTTCGTTTCTTTTGTCTTTTTCTGTACTTCATGTACGAGCTAATACATGATTTTCTTTGAATCTTATTTCCTCTTAAGTACTACCGTAGCTGGGCTTTTTTGTTCAACATTTTCTTTAGGTAACAAAAAATAAATTTTGTAATGTGAATTTTTTTTTCCTTTTTAAAAATGTTTTCTCTTTTTCTTAAGGTAAAAGTTAAGTTGGAGGGGGATAGCCAAGTCACAAAGAAAAATGGGTTGCACATAGACTAAGGAATAAACATTAATTTGTGTTTTTTGTTATATTTCTAATCTTGTTGTAAATTTACACTATTTATAAATATTTATTGCTTGAAAATATTTGTTGATAGAATGCTGGTATTTTTTTTTTCAGAGTTCCTGCCATTAAATTTTATGGAGTAATGTCATTTTAAACATTTCTCTTTTTACATTTTCTATACATGAATAAAACTGCTTAGCGAGCATTGTACAGAAACATGAAGATTGTTATGGTTTATGGGTTACTAATCAGAGTTGTCTTTGTAATTAAATGATTCTTTTGTGATGAAATGCCTTGTCTCGTCCATGAATTATAACACGTATACAATTTGAATAGACTTTTTCTTTTTTTATTTGCATAAGTCTTTGTTTGTTGACTGTGCTTTGATAACAAAGATCTTTCACTGGATATATACTGATTACTGATGATGTTACACAATCCATTTAATGTCATGGTTGTCTTAAGTGCTATTTTCTATATTGCCATACTGCCAGGTTCAGAAAGTATCTGTGACATTTATGCTGTCAGTAATAGGCCGTAAAGGGATAGTCCACCCAAAAATGAAAATTCTGTCATTTACTCACTTTCTTATTTCTTATCACTTTCGACCTTCTTCTGTGGAACAAAATATATATTTTGAAGAAAGACCATTGGAGACCATTGACTTCTATTGTATGGACAAGAAAAAACTAAACAAAAAAATGACTTTTTATTTTAAATATTTTCTATGTTCCACAGAAGAAAAAGTCACATAAGTTTAGAAACAACATGAGCGTGAGTAAAAGATAACAATGTTCATTTCTGGGTGAACTATCCCTTTTAAGTGGTTAGTTTTGGTCTAGAACTTGTCACTATAGAGGCATTCAGGATACCTGTATCCATAGAGAGCACTGCATGGCCTTAATGTCTGTAAAATGTCTTTTAAGGTTTGGGCTGCAGCAATTATTCTTTGGTCAGACTGAGATTGGTCTGCACAGATAGCGAGAGCACTGACTGCTTCTTTGGGAAGATGACCTGACTGCACATCATTAGGCACGAGCAGATTGTTAATGACATGTTTGCAAAGTAGGATAAAACTCTGTGCGGCTCGAACGGTTTCACACGGAGGCGGTCTTTCACAAGATCCACTGAGACAGGAGAAGACATCGAGGTGTTCTGGTAGCAAGTCTTCATCAGGAGGATATCCTGCAGGAAGGAGCAATGTAATAATGAGTTTAGGTATAACACATGTATGACATAGCACCAGATTTGGTTAAACAATAAATGATCACTATGCAGTAAAGCTCAGTGGCGGAACCAGAGGGGTGTCCAGGGTGGCACTGAACACCCCTGACATTGGCCACCCCAAAATTTAATATCCTACTATTTCATTTTCCTTGTTTAATCGTACTGAAAGCATTTATTTAAGCCTCAAACTCAAGGACACGACGTGTCTGGTGTGCTGCATCGCGCTTCATCTCATCCGGTGTAGCTTCCAGCCTCTGCTAACTCAGGCCACACGTTCATTTTCCTACATCGCAGAGCAAAGAGAGGACACCGACAACGCGCTGACAGACAAGACAGAGCAGGTTACTTTTGAAAATAGGAAACAAATTCTCAGCATTCAAATTCTGTTAGTTTTATTAAGAATTTGAAACGATAGATACAGTTTTGGAACTCTTTAGTGGCGTGATGGTTCACATGCGCTCCGCTTTGCCTCAGTTCAAGCAAAGCAGTAGTGCTAATTCTAATTAGCATGAAATAAACAAGAATGAATATCCGAGGGCGTGTTGAAAGATACACTACAACCTACTGAATTTATGTCTCATGTAATCACTCAATGAGTGTTTCAACCGCGGAAAGACAGCAGCTTTAAAACATTGTTACATAACCGCAGAAAATCCATTCAGTGTCCATAAACTAGCAAGAAAAATGTACACCAGTAAAAAATGGTCACGTTATTCTAGAATGTACACCTTATTCTAAAAAATGGTCTAATATGAAACCTTAACAATAGGGTTCCCTGCCTATAGTTTAGATTAGAAAAAATGAGAGAGAAAAAACATTTAGGCTATAATCGCAAGCTTGTAAATTATTCCTGAATAATTCTCACTCCAGGCTGAACTCAAAGTTGGCAGCCCTGTTTGAAGTAAGATGAAGTTTTAGGTTTCCTGAACAGCATTTACAAAATTCACTGTATCAGTTAATGTTAGATCTTTTGATCCAACCGCTGGTTAATCATATGATAGAGAAATAAGTTCCAATAGACTAACATTTGAAGTTACGGTAGGAATGTATAGCTAATGTAGGGTACTGTGAAGTAATCAGTAATCGTAGGATTTGTCATGCTTTTTTATGCCAGGTTGGAGTCATACACTGATTTTCTGTCATGGTCTATGTACCCCCTGAATTAGCCTTGGCCACCCCATGTATAAAACTCGAGCTCCGCCACTGGTAAACCTACGTCATGAATAATTAAAAAACTGATGATCACTTTTTAATTTAATTAATTAATTGTATTTTCTACATTTTATTTGCACTACTGTTAAAAAGAATGGGGTTGATCAAATGTTTTAATGTTTTTGAAATAATTAGCTTGTCCTCACCAAGGCTGCATTTATTTTATCAAAACACAGTAAAAAAAAAAACAATGATATTGTGAAATATTACAATTTAAAATAATTGTTTTCTATTTGAATATATTTTAAAATGTAATTTATTCCTGTGATGGCAAAGCTGAATTTTCAGCATGTTTACTCCCGTCTTCACTGTCACATGATCCTTCAGAAATCATTCTACTCTGATTCTATGCTGATTTGGTGCTCAAGGAATATTATAAATTAAATAATTCTATAAATAATTCTCATTATTATTATTAATGTTGAAAACAGTTGTGCTGCTTAATATTTTTTCAGGATTCTTTAATGAATAGAAGACTTGAATTACACTTGAAACATGACAAAGTAAGTTTGTTTGTGTACATGGTAAAAACAATATTTTACCATAAAATCTATTTACAGGTTGCTGCATACGTGACTAAGCCAGAACTGACCTTCCTGCAAGTCAATGATCCCTATGGTACTGGTATCCACAATGAAGACCCTGCTATCATCCAAGGTACCAAACATGTCCTCTGAGATGTTCGTGTAGAAGAGGCTGAACTGGAGGCTGTTGGAGCTCAGGCTCTGGGTGATGTGAAGAAGCTGGTAGGCAATGTCCGCACGGCGCTCCAACGGAGAGGAAAACAGGCTCCTGAGGGGTTTGCTCCCTGCCCAGACCATCATCCTTCCACAGGAGCCATGGTAGCGGAGGAAGGGCCAGCCCTCCGTGCCTGGAAACATCTGTAGGCAGAAAAGTCAAAAGTAGGGCTGAAAACAGGAAGCGAGGGAGCTCGAGCATGCAATGCCAGTGTGTACATTTGCGCTTTCTTTATATATACACTACCGGTCAAAAGTTTGGGATCAGAATGATTTTTAATGTTTTTTAAAGGAGTTTCTTATGCTCATCAAGGCTGCATTTATTTGATGAAAAATGCAGGAAAAATTTAATATTGTGAAATATTATGATGTAAAATAACGTTTTTCTATTTTAATATACATTAAAATCTCATTTATTCCTGTGATGCAAAGCTAAATTTTCAATTATTAATCAAAGAATCCTGAAAAAAGTATCGCAGTTTCCAAAAAAAAATACTGTTAATAAAAAAACTGTTGCCAACATTGATAATTCTAATAATAAATCAGCTTATTCGAATGATTTCTTAAGGATCATGTGACACTTTATACAGGAGTAATGGCTGAAGGAAATTCAGCTTTGCATCACAAAAATAAATTATATTTTAAAGGATATTAAAATAGAAACCTTTCTTTTATATTGTAATAACATTTTGCAAGATTACTGTTTTTTCCTCAAATAAATGCAGCCTTGATGAGCATAAGAGACTTCTTTAAAAAACATAACAAGTCTTACTGATCCCAAACTTTTGAATGGCAGTGTATATATAGGTAGGTAGGTAGGTAGATAGTAGGCCTACCTATTGATGTGGAATGAATGAATAATTAAATAAGGTAATTAATTGTGACTTTTTCTTCTTTAGTATATATCTCGCAATTCTGACTTTTTCTTTTTCCCCCCAGAATCTTAAGTTCGCAATTCATTTCATATCTCAAAATAAGAATTAATCAATTAATTGAAATAACAATGTTTGTAATTATGGTACGCTTTTATCCAAAGCAACTTACATTGAATTTTTAATGTATACAATTTTGATTAGTGATGGCAAAGAAGTTTAAAAGTTAAATTTTTTTAGGCTGGTCTAAAAGCTCTTGTCAATGTCAAAATGACTGAGATGGCCAATCAAATGAAAGTAGGCGGGGTTAACGGTTCCCAGAAGCAGAGCGCGCATTCTGGCAGGAACTGCCAGTTTAATAGTGATGGGAAGTTCGGATCATTTTACCGACTCGGACCTTTGACTCTCGTTCAGCAAAATGAACGAATCTTTTTTCGAGTCATTTCGTTCGTTTTAGCAAAATATAATTAAAATGTTAAGTGTTACTTCCCTAATATGTCTACTACTTATAGTTTCTTTCACGCAACGTCCGAGATCAAATCTGGAGGGATGCCAGAACCGCCGCCGTCCTCAAAGAACGGAAAATCAGGATTTTTGAAGACCTGACACAAAGCGCCAAAGACGCCAGGAACAAACTTTGGCCTCTTGTCGAACGAGCGAGAAAGGAGGGGAAGAGAGCAGGATTCAGAGGGCCGTTTGCATATGTGGACGGTAAAAGTATTTCTGCCAAAGATCAGTTGATGATTTCTGCCAAAGATCAGCCATCGAAGTCTCAGTGCAGCAGATGACCTTCTTGATACCCACGGGTAAGCTCGAACTGCTCCGGGGTTTTTTGTTTTCTTCAGATAGGATGGTGAGACGTTCTCTTCTTAAATATGAAAAGGTCAAACAGCAGATTGATGAATTAATCCAAACTTACTGGGAAAGGGCTGAATCAGAACAAGCTTATGGACGGAATTGGGAGCTTCTAAAATATGAATTAGGGAAATTCTTAAGAAAATTTGGAAGTAATATAACAAAACAAAATAGATTAATTGAAGATGAAGTTCTTTCACAGCTTTCTGCTTTATCATTTAGGGAACCATTGACAGAGACTCAAAACACTGAATACTCTAATCTACAGAATAAATTAGATGAGTTGTACAGATCCAAAGCTAAGGGAGCCTATGTTAGATCCAGGAAAAAATGGCTGGAAGAAGGAGAACAGAACTCAGCCTATTTCTTTAGGTTGGAAAGATCCAATGCTATGAATGTTTCTATTGATCGTCTCCAAACAAATGATAGAGTTCTTGATAATCCTAAAGAAATAGCTGCTTATTGTTCCAAATTCTATAATAACTTATATACATCAAGATATTGTGATAATTCAGCCAACTCGTTTTTTGACTCTGTCAATCAAAATAAAGTTATTTCATTAGAAGATAAAGAAGCTTGTGACGGCGATATCTCTCAATCAGAAATTCTACAGGCAATTAAGAGTTTAAAAAATAATAAAAGTCCGGGCAGCGATGGTCTAACCGCTGAGCTGTATAAGATATTTGACAAAAATGTATCTCCTTTCTTATTAAAAGTGTTCGAGGAAAGCCTTGAGTTGGAAGCACT